CACTCAAGACAAGAAGACAGCGAAACGATTGCAATTCAAATCAAACGCCGAAACGAATCGTTTTGAACCGAAAAGAGTGGAGTTCTCTGCGGACGACCTCTCAGTCACTCTCAACCCAATGGAAATCAGGACTTTTATTATTACTGTTCAGAACCGATAAATGAAACCAAATTATTGATTGGCTTTCACCTTTAAAAGTTAAAATTTCCTTTTATATAATTGTGTAAAAATTTATCTAAATAATATTAATGCGAATTAATAAAAATCATCTACCCTGTTTCAAAATTTATAAAAATGAATAATTAAATTGTATTTAAAACTTAAATTTATCAATTTCAATAAAAATTCTTTTACCTTAAAAGTAATATGTTTATTATTATTTATTAATTCTTACAATATAATCATTATATTATAATTCAACATATTACAGTACAGTATTCTTGATATTTGATAAAAAGTTTTAGAATTAATGTATCCCAATATTTAAAGTACTCAAGGTGCAGTTTAGGTGTGCATATAATTAAGATAATAAAAATAGTTACACTTTATAAAATTATTTGCACAGATTTATTGGAGTGCCCAGGGGTTCATTACATAATAAACAATATAATCGTAAACTTCAAGCTATACTAAATACATAATAACCAATACTAAAGGTTAACTAAAATTTTGTACTAAATTAAAAGTACAAAATTACATCAATCAGTTGCAGTATTGTAATAATAGTGAATTGATTGGGGAAAGGGACTGGTATGTGAATTGATAGGGTTTGTTACAGATTATTATTTGAAAACCGTATCAGGACTCCTTTAAATTAAAATTAAAAATATTTACAATTATATTATATTATATGAGTTTTATTTGTTATATAATACAGATATCAGTTTATATTATTATTATGTACAGATATTGACTTATGAGTGATAATTTTATCAATTACTTGTTACACGTTGAACTTAATTCATTAAATGAACTTTATTTTTCTAATTGAGCTACTAACATCGCTTGTGAAAAATAAGATATTTTAGTCAATACATTTACCATACTACTGATTGAATTTTAAAGTGCCTTGAACAAAATGATGCGAATATGTTCTTTCTGTACTTGAAGAATTAGTTTTTGTTCAAGCAGACATTAGCAACCATATAAGTGTAAACTTTATCGCTAAACCCTATCGTTAATCAAATGAAATGCATTGACTGTCAGAATATATACATAGACTTTGATTTAATTTCAATTTTATCATAAGATAAGTGAAGGAAAGTTGAAGTCATTCCTCGCAGTACTATATAAACAGTCGACAACTCATGAGAACCTCAACACCAGAAGCAATAATGGCTTTCCTTATTGGACTGGTTTTATTAGCGGTCGCACCGGCCGTGCTATGCCGCCCCTCCCTACTCGAGCCGACCAAATGCGACAACAGTCACTGTCCACAAGTGGACCCCAAGATGTTGAACATACATCTGGTGCCACACACTCACAATGACGTCGGATGGCTGAAGACTGTCGACCAATACTACTATGGCTCGCGAACTAACATTCAAAAGGCAGGCGTTCAGTATATCATCGATTCTGTGGTGCAGTCGCTGCTGCAGAACGAGACCCGAAAGTTCATATACGTTGAAACGGCATACATCTGGAAGTGGTGGGGATTACAGACACCCGAGCTTCAGGAGAAGGTCAAGAAGTTGGTCAACGATGGTATGTGTCATTTGATTTATAAGATATCCTTAATTTAAATTAATATTAAAAAAACTTTAAAATTTAAATTGCAATTGTAAAAACTATTGAACATACAGTATTATATTAACTAATGAATTTTATGGTAGGATCTAATTAATTTCTATTGTATTGATATTTTGTTATGTATCATATAATCTAATTTATAGTACAAAATTGGTACAATCAATTTGACATAATTTACATGTATATGTAAGCAAGGTTAACAATCCAGATAATTTGCACACGTAGGTCAGTTGGAATTTATAAACGGTGGCTGGTGTATGAATGATGAGGCGGCCGCACACTACCAGTCCATTGTGGATCAGATGACATGGGGTCACCGGCGTCTTCAGGACACGTTTGGCACATGTGGTATACCAAAGATCGGGTGGCAGATCGACCCCTTTGGTCACAGTCGAGAACAGGCGTCCATTTTCGCACAGATAGGCTTCGACGCCATGTTCTTCTGGCGTTTTGACTACGAGGACAAGAAGAAAAGGTTAGCCGAGAAGAGCATGGAGTTGATATGGCAGGGAAGTGATGACTTGGGAAGTGCTTCAGACATATTCACAAGCGCCATGGAAATGGGTTACGGTATGCGTTCACTATAACTTCATAAATATTTTTTAAATTATAAAAATTAATATAATTATAACTAAGTGTATAAATTAACCGACTTTTGCGTATAAATAATATAATGACATTTAAACCATTTGCTGAACTCATGTCCCAAACTACAGGTCCGACCCCGGGCTTTAACTGGGACTTAGCCAATGGCGGTAATGACGACCCGATCATCGATGACCCGGAATCGGAGGACTATAACGTGGATAAAACTGTGGACAGACTATTCACGTACGCAAAGGTGTACTCTAACTATTACGCCACAAACAATGTACTCTTCCCAATGGGCACTGACTTCTTCTATCAAGACGCCAACATGTGGTTCAAGAATATGGATAAACTCATCAAATATGCCAACCAAAGGAAATCCAACGGATCCAACATTAATGTCTTTTACTCAACTCCTACCTGTTATCTACACGGCGTGCATATGGCTAACCATACCTTCCCCACCAAAAAGGACGACTTCTTCCCGTATGCCTCCAACACTCACTCCTATTGGACGGGATATTTCACGAGTAGACCAGCGATCAAAAGATACGAAAAAGTTGGCAATAATTTCCTTCAGGTCTGCAAACAGTTGGATGTCTTAACTCAGGGAAATGGTAAGAATGAGGCGCTGGTGACCCCCTTAAGGGAATGGATGGGTGTTATGCAACATCACGACGCCGTCNGTCTTAACTCAGGGAAATGGTAAGAATGAGGCGCTGGTGACCCCCTTAAGGGAATGGATGGGTGTTATGCAACATCACGACGCCGTCTCCGGTACTGAGAAACAACACGTCGCCGATAATTATGCGCTTAAATTGTATAAAACTATTGAAAAATGTCAGTCAGTTGTGAGTCAATCGCTCAATACATTGATTGCCGACCAGAAGTTGATTCAATTGTATTGCAATGCACTGAATATCAGCGCCTGTGCTGTCACTGAAGGCACTGATAATCTGGCGGTTACTGTATATAACCCTTTCGGACATAATGTCAATCCAGTTATCAGACTACCCGTCACTTCGAAGGCCTACAAAGTTTTAGATCCGAAGGGAACTGCAGTCAAATCAGATATCGTTCCCATTCCTCCCGCTGTACTCAGTCTGAAGGAAAGGGTTAGTAAAGCAAAGGATGAACTCGTGTTTGAAGCACAGGTACCGGCCCTTGGATTTGCTACTTATTTATTGAAAGCAAATGCACCACAAAATAGAGTAAATGAGGCGAAAGTGTCTAAATGGAAAGGGTTAGTAAAGCAAAGGATGAACTCGTGTTTGAAGCACAGGTACCGGCCCTTGGATTTGCTACTTATTTATTGAAAGCAAATGCACCACAAAATAGAGTAAATGAGGCGAAAGTGACTAAAATAACGGAAGCCTTTGCCGTAAAATCTAAATCTTTAAACATTTTATTCGACAAAACCGGAGCTTTGAATGCAATAGTCGACTTCTTGCCTTTTCAACAACTGAAATTCGTTTTGAAGCTCAAGATATTCCGTTTCTTGCTATTGCTGAGGAAGGTAGTCGGTAGGCCTCGGATATAGAAGTCTAGTCTGCCTCTGTGAGGAACTCTCTATAACAACACTGGATTTATGGCCGATTTAGTGGAGACATCAGATGTTAAGGAAGTCCGCCAATCGTTTGGAGACTATATTTCACAAGTGATCCGAATTACACCAAACAGTGATGTCATTGAATTTGATTTCGTCGTCGGACCCATTCCTGTGGACGACAAGATCGGCAAAGAGATTATCTCTCGATGGGAGACAAACCTCACCACAAATGGTCTCTTCTA